TCGATAATCGCAATATGAGTGCCGATCCACTCGAAATACCATAGGTATCTAATTACTAAAGCGGGAACTGTAACTGCACTCTGAGGGAGGGAGGGGGGAGGGGGCGGTGGTGGCATATGCCCATCTGGTGAACTGGTATGCAACCAGGTGCTGCTACCATTTCGTTAAACAGCTGTGGTGTTTTAGGCCAAACGAGCCGATTGCACCTATCCCTATTGCTATGAGGCAGTTTTTCGGAGGCTCTAGAAAATAACTAATTCGGCTTTTCTGCTGGCCGTGTTCGGCCGAAGAAATAAACAGAAAGAAAGCGCGCGAGCTGTTATCAAACAGTCCGAAGTTCGAGTATGTGTTCGAACCTGGTTTCATGAGAAGTGCCCGTTGTTTCTTTCGCTTATACATTGTGTGAGATACGTCGGACTAAGGCAACCAGATTTTAACTTGATTACGCCAATTGGAACGTCACAGGGGTAGGATATTTCATAAGCTCACAGGTGGACATGCCGGTCAGTGACTAATGAATTTAAATGGAATTGTCATGTGCAATCGCAAACGTACCATTTTGTTCACTTTGAGCGAAATTTCCTCCCGTTACATTTCTTTTTTAATTATTTCGAGAGTTCGATTACGAATTTGTTGAGATCGTTCTTTAAATGCTGGGTAACACTTTATTATGTCCAGTATTTTCAGTAGATTGTCCATAAAGACAAATTTTGATCTACGTACTTATGAAAACCTTTAAAATGAAGTATTTCTTAAAGGCTTTTATCGGAGTAGTGTACTTTTTGACGTAACTTCCCCTGCCGCTGTCTGTCTGAGTCATGGTTTTAGAGGCACACAAACATGTCAACGCATTTGCTAAAGTCGCTTGCTTATTGAGCAGCGACAAAATGTTATCATAATTGCCTTCTCTGAAGCCCAGTGATAATGCAATCTGTGAATCATGACCAAACCGAGATGTACTATGAACATAAATGTGCAAGTCACTTGCATTCCTATTGCTATTATATCCCCCAAAAGCAGAAAACACAACATCGATTCATTGAATTATGCTTAGGGTATTCACATTTTGGCATCATAAGTGAGCCAAAAATATACAGTATTCGCTAAAGACCGTGCAAATTTCATGACGAAATTTGACTTGGTACTTCAGAATATCTTTGGTCACATCATATTGATTCATTGAGTGGATTTAATTCTGCGAAAGCCTTTTAGTTAAGAAAATCACCATTTTAGTCGAGTTTATTAAGCTAAATGGGCATTTATTTTGGCGGAATTAGGAGTAGTCTCATATCGAAGGAATTTTTTATGTCATTACCTAAGACAGAACCAAACTTCTTATTAATGTTGATTATACTACAGAGGAACTTCAAAATAAGTAAAATAGGTATCGAACACATCCCCTTCAGAACTGGAAAATTTTGTCCGAAATTGCTTATATTCAAGTGAAACCAAGTTCAAGGAATCGCATTTATTTTCAGCAACATGGAGTGACTTATGTTTTAAACATTATTTTTAGCTAACCTGTGAAGATTTTTTTCGCGAAAAATGCAGTAACAAAACGTTTCAATGCATTTTGTTTAAACCGCACCGCTCACCTTGGTGAATTATCAAAGTGGCCGCATGTATTACCACGTAGGTAATAGAAAACAGGCCTTATTACATTAAAGTCAAGTAGAAATACACTTTTTGTAAACTACAAGTTCCGCTTATGCGTATTTTAGAAACGGAACGGACAGAGGAATAATGATTATTTCAAAAAATGGCCATGTATATGACCACTCTTTTTTGCAGTCGGAAGCTTATAACAGACCCTGGAAGTAATAAACTCTGGCGGAAAATAAACCGTTATAAAGAGAAAAGTGAGTTCTTTCATTTCCAGTCAACTTGAATCGCTTCTCTTTAGGTAGATTAAATATTTGTCAAAAATCTCCAATTTCATTGTGACATTACATTGGAAAAACTTTATATACACAGAAATTCGTCAGATGAATATCTAATTAAAGCACTTTTAAAGAGGTAACCTATTATAGAAAGTTTTTTTATTAAGCTTAGGAATAAAAATATCCGAGTTATCTAGCGGACGTTCCGTATGCTCGACAATGTGGTTTGCTGTTTTGAGGCATTTCTAAATATGATCCACATGGCCATCTTCATAAGAACTCATATCCAAAAACTAATTTTTTTTTCAGTAAATGCTCTTTATATATATCTTATTTCTAAGGTTTTCGTGTAAACCTCGAACAGAAGATCAGTTTATGCATTAATATATGAAGACACTGAAAGCGGACGAAATGACTCCACAATTTCAATTACGATATTAAATAAATAGTTATCCATTAATGGTAAACTGTAGAAAATATTTGATTAAAGAAAAGTTTTTTTACATAAAGAAAATGGCTACGTAAACTTTTCAGATAAAGAACATATTTAAATTTATTGTTCCAAATTACAGCAATTTTTTACGTCTCCAGAACCTGGGGCTTATCGGGAAGATTTTATTTTTCTCAACAAATACTTAGTATTTCTTATACTTTTTAAGTTTTAACTATGCCTAATGCTGTTCATTATTATTTCCAAGTTTTTGTATATGCGTGCACATTGATATGCGAGCAAGGGTCAGACTTTTACAGAGTTGTGAAGGTTGCATGGTCTTTAGCGCATACTGTATTCATGCATGAAAGGCCTCGAGCACACAACGCTGCATCTATGCATTGCAGTATCATCCTTCAGTTTGGTTCATGCACTACTGCTAACGGCCTAATACGTTTTTACCAGCCTAAGAAGCAGTAACCGATATGCTTTTTAATCCTTTATTCATCCAAGCACTTATTTGTCTTTGGATTTATATTGGTTTGTCTGCACAATCACGTTTCCCGTCATTTTGCCGGTGTGTGTAGGTTCACAATTCCGATTCACTTTCGTCGTCGTCGTCATCTTCTTCTCTTTCGTCATCGTCACTCTTTTCCACCTCAACCTCAACCGGCTTTTCTTCCTGTATCTCCATTTCTTCTTCTTCTCGCTCGTCGTGGTCTTCGTGTTCATATTCTTCGTCATCTTCCTTTTCCATCTCACCCTCGATCTGCTTTTCCTCTTGTACTCCAACTTCCTCTTCTTCTGTTTCTTGCTCCACGTCGTCATCCGCATCCTTCTCCACTGATTTCTCATCATCCGTCTCTTCTTCTTTTTCCTCCTCCTCCTCCTCCTCCTCCTCCTCCTCCTCATCTTTCTCCTCTTCTTCGTCAGTTATCTGGCCATTCTCGGGCTCACCCACGTTTACCGCATCTTCGTTCTTTAGTTCCTCTTCTAGATCCTCTTCATTTGGCCTTTCCTCATTGGCCAATACTCGTTGAAGTTCTAATGGATGAGAACTAGGCACGTTGGATGCGTCTGAAAGAGAAGATATGAACATGTGAACAAAACTGAAACCAATAGTCCCCTCTCACTCTCTACGCGATTAACAATCCATTTGTGAATTTAGAAATCAAGGTGGAATCCTAGTTTAGGTCCCGGAAGTTGTCTAAATATTGTAATATTTTCGCAACAAAATGGCGCACTATAAATAAATACAGAAATTTACTCCTATTTCTTACTCGCTTATAATTTACTAGCGCGGAAGCCCGGCTTCACCTTGGGCTTCCTTACATGTTGTTGTCCCTTATGTAGGCAAAGCTTATATGAGAACATCTTAAAATAATTATGTTCAGTTCAGTTTTACTAGGGAAATATAGGTAAATACCTCTGAACTCCCTCTTTGTACATAGCTGTGA